GAACTGGTGAAGACACAGCACACTTAATGAGAACTGAAGAATTGTTAGCAGGCCTATAAATCCTAGACAGCTACTACTGCGGCTGCAGCTGCTGCAGCTGCCATTGTTCAGCTGCTGATATAACTGCCGTTGGTGCTGCGGTCTTGCTTGCCAGAAGTAGCAACTGTAGCTGCTGTGGTGAAGACGTCCGTTGCATTTTGCATTTCCTGTGGGTTTGGGGCTTGAAGGCTGAGTAGGGTGAATGTTGTAATGCAGGCGGGTTTACTACGTCGGCGCATTCAGGCGAAGTCACAAGACAAGAGCTTAGCCCTAACGCGCCAGGTCAAATGAAGCTCTATCTGTAGAACAGTGCATCTGCCCTTAGATTCGTGTATATATGCTCCAGTGCATAAGTGGGTCAGGGCTTAGCTTCTATGTTCGTGTGCTCTGTTTATTTGTTGTCGAAGTTGTGGTGAGCCGTTTATGGCAATTAACATCTGGGAAGGCGGGAAGGAGAATCAACCCCTCACGCTTGTTCACTTTCATTTGTATCTGCGTGCATTCGTGTGGCTTGTCCTCAGGAGAGACTTGTGATACAGTGCGTCTACGAATTTTCTCGTGCAAGGCAGGCTTCTCCACCAAGCGCTGCTCATGCTACTATGGTTACTGCTGGTGGCATTCCCACTTAGGGGGTTGGGAGTCTTCCCGCTGCAGACCGGCCCAATCTCAGATTTTTTAGAATACGGAGTGACAGCTCAATGTAGTACCGCAGCGCGGAACCCTCCGAGACAACAAAACTCGGAGCAGTGTGTAGTTGCGCTGTTCCTACAGTTACCTCCTTCTTTTTTACTCTCCCTCGTTAAACACATTACTTTGGGAGTCTTGCGTCGTACAGTTGACGTCCGTACTAAACCCGTTGAATCCTGTTGTAGATTGCTGATGCCGGTTCTACTGGCACAACAGAGTACGCCAGAAAGCGTCATCAGTGGATAGTGGGTGGGCCTGAACAAGCATACGCTTCTGTGCCGCGTGATATGCTAGCGAATCGGTATCCACCGCGAATAGAAAAGCGCCCTGCCCCACCGCATATCGATACTTCTGTGAGGCGCTTTGTGTATGCGGCGAAGGCAGTTCTGTGCCTAGTTCACCAGCTGAAGGCGAGGGTTTTCTTGAGGCAAATGTAGTAGCGTATTCAGCGTTATGAATGATATACAGGGGAAGGGGTTAACTAAACCTCGCCTGACGTACGTTTTCGTCGCTGGGGCGGTTCCATGGCAGGCAGTCCCGGACCAGACCGGTGGCCTACCGTGAAGAAGAGCTGTGTTTTCTTTTAGACAGTTTTTTCATTGTATAAAACTTGTTTTCTGGATTGTTTTTGAAGAGTTTTGTCCAAGATGTGGAAGCATTGCAGACACTGATGGTCTGGGGCTTGGGGTTCCTGTCTGCAGCGATGGGCTGGTGTGGCGGCGCCACACGATCCGTGAGGAGGTTGTGGGAACAACGGAAAGGATGAGAATTAACACTTGTTTGGATAAGGTGTTAAGAATTGTTATCTTTCTGCATTTAGGGGAGGGAGAAGGTTGATTAATATGGCAGAGAGGGGATCGTTTCTCTCCGACGCGGGACGGGTGGGTGGGGCAACAATTCTCTCTTCAACACATCTGCAAATACTGTCTTGTCTCTTCGCCTGCTGGGCCTCTCGAGCAAAGCGTATGAGCTTCTCTGCACAAAAACAGTAGAAAGTACTTGCTATTGGAGGCGGTGTTGTCCTTTCCCCTGCAGCCTTGCCGTACCTTTAGGTGCTGCCCCTTCCCCTTCTCGAGGGTTCCCGTGGTACAGTAAACGAAGGCATAAAGCCGAGACCGTGCAAGGACAAGTTGTTTTTCCACGTGTTTTCATGCCTATTAAGCGTCACCTGCTCCGCAGCGTACTAAGGTCTCGACGTCTGGTCAAATGTTCAACTGGCTACGCGTCCTGAGCAACACGCCGATACCCCAACTCGCCCATTGCGGTGGAGGGAAACTGTCCTTCGCTTGACATCCTCCAAAGGTACAGGTACGTTCAAAGTCCCTAGACTTTCTGAGAGTTATCTTGGTGAGAATCTGGAATGGATCGCCTTCAGCAGCGACAATCTGCCGAAGCCCCTCTCCCACCCAGGCGCCCTGATGGGCCTTTGGGGCCCCCGCTATCAAGACCCACTGGGGGCTCTATGGGTTTGATAAGAGGCCTAACCGAACATTGGCAGCCACCCGGTACGGTCGAGGTTCGCCGGGAAGACCCAGCCTCCGCAGGGATGCCTCATCACGGCCATACTCCCCCCCGCCAGGATTACAGCATTTGTAACATCTCTAACTCCCAACCAGCCACATGGATGCAGCCTCTAAGAGCAGCGTCCTATGGACCACTCCATGTAACCTCTGCGGGGTCGTGTACTAGCGGTTCCATCTGGGGCTCGTCGCTTGGGAGCCTGGGCACGTTGAGTTCATCCGCGCCACAGTTCAGTGCCGCTTCCCCTGCGGGAAGAGTAGACGTTGTATTATGCCAGCAAACTGCACCTATCTGTCGCTGGCAATACTATGGAGGCTGCCGTGATAATGTTGCTTCTTCCGCAGCTGCTTTATCCATGGGCAGCGGGGCTCCAGTCCACAGCCCCTCAGCGCTCAACCATCTTTTCCACGACAGTGGTGCTGCACCTGCAAACGTTCTGTCATACAGTGTCTCAGAAAGGGGATTGCCTTACTCGATCGCAACGATTCGAGGGAGCTCTTCCGTGACAGACGACGACCGGCATCTCAGAGGTGAACCTCGACTTAGTCTTTCAAACATCCCTTCGAGGCTCCTTGCCAAAGGAGTCCCGATGACCTGAGTAAATGCACACGTCCACATATGCGCGTGTTGTGTCTGCACTTAGGTCAAACCGCAGTGCTCTCTCGACAATCACCAGTTGGCGCGTTCAATCAACGCGAGACTTCGCCTCCCATCGCAGCTGTGCAGGCCTCCCCCAACCAGCCCGCCGCTGGCGGCTCCTTTGGACCCAGGACAAGCCTCTCACCCACCGTGGCCGCTGTTGGCCTGCCTGTTTGCCGGCATTTCAACCCACTACGCGAAGCTCCCTTTGAACTCGTCAAGTTTAATAGGCGGGATCCATACACACACTTTTATATCCCTGTAGATTGCCCCGACGCTCGGCGGTGAGGGTTCCTAGCAGCCAGCGAGGCGAGAATGCTGACACCAGGCGTAGAACCTAGGGCAGACCCAGGCCAGGCGCTCACTTAATAGAAAGCATCAGTGTTGCATCTGGGTACCGACGGGTTCACTGCACATAGTGGGTTTACCACGGCTCTTAGAGCGTTCCCTATATTTGAAGCGGGACGTTTCACAGGGCCTCTCTGAGGAACCTTTTCTAATGTGAGTACGCTGATTTGCAGATGCGCCAATGGCGTCTGCCCGTTGGCACACACGAAACTTGAGAAGATGTTCCATCCTATTGTATATAAGACGCAAGTAGGTTGACTTCGCTGCTGAATATTGGTCGTGGGGTCTTCTTGAATGTTTCTGGCCCGTTCTGCTGCCTTCTTTACGTGTTGTTTGATTGTGAACTGTGGTTGGAGCCAGTTTTACGATGCATGCGTGTGGGGCCGTCGGTGTTGCCATCTCGCAGAAGTGCCAGATGGCTCTTCGGGACACGGGTCGATGTCCGTATATTAACCAGTGCACATTCTTTCACACCGAAGAAGACCGAAAACGAGCTGCATTAGAGCGGGAGGTTTGGGAAGCTGGATGGGGTCAATGGCGCCCGCAAATGTGCCAGTTTCTACGTAGCCATCACGAGTTTGAGAAGGGAATACGACGAAAAATTGAAGGGATGATCAAAATTCGCATGCCACGCTCTTCATCAGGTGATTGTTCGGGGAGCGATTTAGAGAATATTGGAGTTCTACCCAGGTATGGTGAGCAGAAGAAAGCCGCCATTCAGCAAAGCTCGCAGGGCTTGTGCCCCCTAGACGCAGGAGTAGGCTCGGCGTCATTCTCCTCCCCAAGGGGAAGGTGTTTCGCAGAGAGTGGATTTGCTGGCGAAGGCATGGCTGGCCTCGCCGACTCCGGAAGAAGTCGATCTGATCCCCGCCTGGCGAAGTCTGTGAGCCTATGCGACCTGGCAGAGGCACCTCTGTCAACCTCAGCGGTGTTTGGGAGTACTCGGCGTTTATTAGAGCACCAGGAAGACCGTGCATTTCCTGCTGCGCCTGAGGGCTTGGACATAGCAAACGCGTGGAGCAATAAATGTGCTCAGCAGCACAGACCAGGCGGAGAGCTTCGAAGTCGGTTAGAAGCATCCACTAGCAGTACACGGTCTACTCTCCAGGAAACCGTGCCAACTTTGGGAAATGACGACAAGTCTTTTCGTTCATCGGGAACAACTCCAGAACTTGGCGGAAAACATAACACGATAGCTTCTTTACCGTCAGCGCATGGTTCCGATCATGGTGTATTTGGCCAGAGGGTTGCCGATTCTGGTGGCCTGCGCGGATACCCTCACACATTGGGCGGCTGCAGCCCACTGAGTTTTTATTCAAAGGGTCGTGAACGTTTGCCGTTGGGGACAGGGGAGGCTTCTGTTGGCTCTGTAACAACGGGTGAAGTGGAAGCGGGCAAAGGGATGGTGTCAACTGTAATGACGTCGGAGACACGGCAGGCTCTGATGATCCCTACTCCTGCCGATGCCCGTGTGGCATCTCGGATGAGCACGCGTGGATCCAGCGGCCATGAGGGTACCAGTAGTTACCCTAAGTCGCTCAACGTTGTGGTTTATAAGCCGCTTCATTTTGCTGCGTCATCGCAGGCCAGTGCAGCGAGCAGCAAACAGGCTGCACTTGGAACCCTGCAGTCGGCGCAACGGGCTGTGGAGCGCCAACCTGCTGATACGCTGCAAACTCTTGGTGGCTGCCTAATACCAGCGCAACCCATTCGGTTAGTCTTCCCGGTTCAGTTGTCTTGCAGTCAAATAAAGCACTGTGAGGACGAACGGGGGGAGGCTGTCACCAGTGGAGGCTCCTCCTGTCGCTCTAACACCTTGCGCTCCCCTCGTGCGGAACCTCTGTTGGTAGAAGTGGATGTTCCCTTCGAGGAGAACACTGTGAATCAGAGCAGCAGCTCTGATTCTTACTTCTTGCGACATCACCGCCAACAGGCGGTAAATGTGGAGGACCAAGGGGACAGTAAGAAGGTGGTTTGCATAAGGGGGGGATCGGAGGTGCCTTCGCCGACGGAAGGAGGACAAGTTGGAGATCTTCAAGGTGGATCTGAGGGCGGTTCTCATCAACAGCCTTTGACTTCTAGGCGCAGCACGGTCGCTCTCACTTTGAGAAGTGCACAGACTGGGCGGGTGGCTTCGCAGGGCGAACGGCTGAAGGGGCAGGAGCCAGTTGGAGGGGCAGATGATGAATCCGTCCTACCAGNGCTTCGCAGGGCGAACGGCTGAAGGGGCAGGAGCCAGTTGGAGGGGCAGATGATGAATCCGTCCTACCAGCTGCGTGTGCCTCACAAGCTATGCCGCTTCAAGGTAGCGTCTCATTGCTGGACGCTTCACCATCCAGCTTGCCGAAGGATGACTATATAGCTCAGGTGGAGCCGCGTAGCATCGTTACAGCACAGATCTCTTCGATGTCGCCAGGGAGTTGTACTCACGCCTTCCGACTTTCTGCGGTTGTGGAACGTCCTGGTCTTGGTAGCGCAGACAGCTCGAAGAGCTCCCCCTTGCCTGAGGAATTCGGCGGATATGCACAAGCAGAAGTGGTCAGGAAGTGCAACGCAGAAGTGGTCAGGAAGTGCAACGCGCCGAGTATTCTCATTTTGCCAAGCCAAGACGTTGCCTTTTTTGCAGGGGATGCTGTTGATAGCCAAGCGAAGCCTGTTGCTGTCGGCTCCCCACAAGGCACTCTGGAGGAACCCACATTTGGGCATTTCTGGAATCCTGCAGCACCTGCCGACGGCGCAGTCACTCGCAGTCCGCTACCGGAAGTTCTGGACGGAGAGGCTTTCTCAGTGTCAATCGACACTGTCATGTGCCAAAACAAGATTCCGTCTAGGGAGAGTTGCGTGACCGGTGCGAAAGATGAATTTGATTTGCTGGCAGGGAATCTGAATCTACTGCGAACTGCAACTGAGAAAATTCGACGCTTGGATATTGGGACTGCTGTAGGTTTGGCCAGGACCGATTACCAACTTGATAACAGAAACGAATTGAGGGATGAACAGACACTTACAACATCTGGGACCATGGATAGTTCTGCCTTGCCGTTGTTGCGTAACAGTGAATGCGCAGAGGTATTGAGTAGCTCCAACATTTCGCCGGCGGGTAGAGAGAGGCAAAGATGTGCCAATACGGTTCCAAAAACTGGAACGCATGACGGATCTCTGGATTAAGCTGTTCGGACCGCCGGACTTCACCAGGGCAGATGCATGTTGTTGCATCTGGCCATCGATTGCTTGCTAAGTGTACCACAAGGAGTTCGTTGTTTCACCTCCCAAAAAGCTCATCACTTGTATAGTGTTTGAGGTTCAGCTGTGTCGGACTATTTCCGTACGGGAGTGCACTTTTGGACATTTTCTCGGTGTATAACATTTACGTGCCGTTATGGTTCCATCGGGTGTCATTGCTATCGTGTGCTTGCACCTTCTAGCTGTGATTATGGGTCACTAAACTATTTGTTGTCACCGTGGGTTGCCAGCGCATGATCAGATAGTTCGCCAGACTGTTTTAAAGGAGCGCAATTCAGCTGTTGTTGAGAGCGATGCGCAATTTGGCACCTCTTTTAATTTGGGATCATGCATTCGGTATNCAATTCAGCTGTTGTTGAGAGCGATGCGCAATTTGGCACCTCTTTTAATTTGGGATCATGCATTCGGTATGTCGTTTTCAGTAATTCTACTATTGCCCTCTAGCGCCCAGCGAATTGTACGCGTCTGACGCTCAGATGGGTACGGAGCACCTCCATACCTGAGGGGACTTCGCTGAGCAGTCGTTTCTTGCTAACGGGTGCAAGGGTGTTTTTGCTTTAGGATATGCTTTAGCTGCTGCTGGAAAGGCACTTCGACGTGCTAGAACTGCCTCGATGCAAGCGTCCCTGCTAAGCTCAGTTATTAGCCATTAGCCATATTCGCAGTTCAGTAGACACCTGGGTTGCTGCAAACAAACCACCTTGCGGTGTAGTTGGATCCGGGGTATATTTGGGCAGCTTTGCCCGCTTGCTAGTGCTGCACAGATGGGATATACCACGCCATCTTTGAATGGCGGCAACTGGCAAGGATTCGTTGGCGTCATACCGTTGAACGTCCGCTTTTGTCATTGCATGCAATACAACAACGGCTGCCGGAATTCCCTTCCTGCATCAGTTGTTGTATTGCATGCAACACTGTTTGTCTGTGCTTTGCAAGCTGCAGACAAATGAAAATCAACTATGAGGTGTCGGCTGTTGTTTAGATTTCGCACAGTGACACTGCTATGTTCCGCCGCTCCCAGGCCTTCCTGCACTGAGAGCCAGTCCCATCCCACCGGTGATCTCGCCGAAATGAAGAACCTACACTTTCTCCAATCGTGTACCTTGTGTAGACGGGCGGGAACGTTACCCCCGGGTGTCAACGGAAGCCTTGAGAAGCGGAATTCTTAGCCCTAGGTTGTCTTCTGTACGTTTAGTCACAATCTACGCAGACACATACCTAGAAGTAAAGAAGACAGCAGCTGTTCATTTAGTTGCATTGGTCTCCACACCCAAGTCTGACATGCAAATATCAACCAAAATTCGGGCATGCTGAAGTACGATTTGCGCGCTCGTGGTAAGTTCGTTTAGCAACTGTTTCCTGCATATTTTCTGCACCCGAGTCGGAAAATTCAGGATGCGGTGCTCCCTGCTCCCTGGTTTCCAGGCTTCGAAAAAGACACGTGATCTTATGTGCCTGTGTCTTATTTTCTTTGGGCTCTACTGATATGCAGTGTTTGCACCGAAATGAGGGTAAAGAACCCCTTACCACTTGCTTATTCGGTAGTTCTATCCCGGAGACATCTCATCGCCTTTCAACTGGAGGACGGTAGAGCTTCATATTGTGTTGCTCTGGATCAGCATTTGGTAGGACAATCTTGATGGGCAACACTCAGAAGATCGCCTAAGTCTCCGTTGCTACTAAAGCCCTAGTGTGAGATCGAATCTGCCAGTGCCCTTGGAACCAACCCGCTCCTTATGGAAGAGTAATCAGGTAGGATCTGCGTATTTCTTAGCACAAATCCCCGTATAAAAGAGTTGCTCAGCACTAGTCTTTTATGAAGGATTCATTCTAAAGGAGAAACCTAAACGACTGCTTAAAAGAAACTGAATGGGATATCACCTGGATCACCCCCACTGGACGGGGCGTCATCCTTTACGAAAGAAACTCAGATAAGCGCGAATGAATCACGCCGTATCAAGCATGCATTGGCTCAGCAGTTTTTCCGCGGATGCCGTGTTATCAGGCCAAACAAAATTAAAACCTCTCGATTTTGTCCCGACGCCGCAACGCCTGCGCTGCACTTGCAGAAAAGGGTTATAAAGGAAGCGGTTAGGCTACATGGCACTGTGTCAAGTGCACGACACCGCTGTGCACCCCGCCAAGATGAATTTAAGGCGCACGCAGTCAACCAAACTGCCAAATCGAGTACCTTTGGGGTATTCGGCGCATGTTTCAGCCCGATCCGTGTAGATATTTCAGTTGAATACAGATAGCCCGAACAGTTTTCACTATCCTAAGGATAGTCACGAAAGCTTATCCCCAACCGGGAAGGTGCTTACCCGGTGGCAAAGCAGAATATGCCTCCTGCTGGTTAAACAGCATGGGGAACGATTACATTACAAAGCAATCTGCGCACGAACTGCACGAGCTCTCCGTTGCACTAACTGTGGGTACTAAACTGTTGCACTTCGCGGAGCAACCAATTCTACAGTTATTCCTTATTGCCTAGCCTGCGCAGCACCCACAAATGCTGTCTATCTTAACATTGTCTTGTACTTAATTGCCATTAACTGCCATTAGCAGCGAGAAACAATTCGAGGGTGTCGCGGTTCACCCATAGTACAACACGACGACACTAATCCTCCACCGAAATTCACACCAAGAAAACACTAGTTAATCTTGGCGACGATGCGCTCTTCAATGGGATTTTTTTCATCAGGGGTTGTTCGCAGCGAACAGCTGAAAGGCTGCGGGCATTTTTGTATTCGATGTACTCCGCTTGGTGTGCGATGTTCTCGCACAAGCTCATGAGTGCATGGTAATGGAAGCTCTTCTGGTATGGAATGCTGGCGGTTCCGCCGGGTGGTTCACTAATCGGGTGGGAGACCGAGCGTGGCCTGTATTCTAAACTTCTCCGAGTCCAGCGAGGACGCGTGGGTCACCGTGAGCTAGGCCTGGCCGACAAAAACGCAGTGCGTTGCTCAACAGAAACACACAAAACATAACATATGCACTTTTATACTCGGCGCACTCCCACTGGTGTGTTATTTTATCGAACGACGTCATCAACGCACGGTGATGGACGCTCTTTCGGTAAGGGAATGCTGGTGGGGCTGGCCAGTGGTCCACTAGTGTGGTGGGTGGAGGAGCCTACTCTGCTCAGTGTAAGTCTCTCTCCATTTCATCAATATAATTACAGTCTTCTCTGACTAGCGAAACTATAACAGAACAGCTGCTCTTTGGCCATATGTGGTGGCTAAATTGAAAGCGGCACGATGACACTAGGGCGACGTCCCGGCACACGGGTTCCCCTCCCGTTTTTGC